CTATCGATAACAAAAGCGATGGCAATATCGATAGCAAAATCGGTAAAAAAACCGATAAAAATATCGATAACAAAAGCGATAACAATATCGATAGCAAAATTGTTAAAACAATCAAGAAAAATATCGATAACAAAACCGATAAATAATCAATAATAAAATCAATAACAGAATCGATTACAAAATCGATAACAAAATCGATAAAAATATCGATCATTATATCGATAAGTTCCGAAAATATCGATAGCAAAATCAATAACAACATCGATACAAATTTCGATAACAACATCGGTGAAAATATCGGTAACAAAACCGATAAAAATATCGATGGCAAAATCGATTAAAATATCGGCAACAAAATCTATAAAAATATCGATAACAAAATCGATAGCAAAATCGATAACAAAATCGATAAAAATATCGATAACAAAACCAAACAGATCCACATTAACTGAAACTTTCATATGTACGTATATATGCATTTACATATGTACATACGCTGCGATCAAAAGCCGCATTACATACGCATACATACTTTTTGTCTCCTTCCCACACTTCCAACATATGCACGTGTTTGCAAAATGATGACGAGGTGATTTTGTATGGAAAATCATTTATGCCATATATTTGAATAAAATAAAGACAGGTTTGGAATTTTATCTTTGAAACGCCACACTTTTCTTTGAAATCGCTTTATTAGTTCTCGTGCAATAAGCGTTTTTGTGAAGCTCTAAAAATTACAACTACAACATTTGAACATAGCCCCCATACCTTAAGGTAAGACGTATTCTACGTCAAAAAAAACACAATTTTTGGAAAAGAAATATGTTTACCCAAATTAAAACAAAAATTTACCAAACCATCGACACTAAAACTTTTTTTGGAGAAAAAAGTTATTTTTGCGATTAATTTTTTATCGGAAAAATTAGTTTTGGTAAAAATATTAAAAGGCTATAATTTTTAAGGAAAAAATCCTCTAATGGAAAATCTATTAATTTTTTAAGATTTTTTGGAATATTATAAAAGCGTATGAAAATTATGTTCAAATGCCACAGGTCGCAGTGCTATCAGTGCTATCATTCCCTTCCGTTTAGATGGCTCAGCAACATAAGTAGACGATGTTGAACAAAGATGATAAATAGAATATCCACATGTACATAAATATGTATGTAGAACTATTAATAAAACTTCCTTGAGCAGCTGCCGTTGCCGTGTGGTTAGAGATTCGAACAAAAACAAATGTTAAATGCCAAATCGCACAATTCCAATAAATAATAGACACAAAATGCAATTCACCATTCATTTCATTCGCACTAGTACTGTTTGTAAATTTTTCTTTGAATTATAAATTGATTAAAAATTCATTCAATATTTTGTGTATTTACGTACGCTTGCCAAATGTTTTCTTAGTATTTTCATTTATGCATTTTTTCTGGGACTAATGACGAAATCGTGGAAGAAACGACACAAATATTTTTTGTTTATTTATGCATTTTGCAAAAAAATTTGCAAACAAAACAAAATTATTTTTTAATTTTTGGTATTTTTTTTTCTTTTTATCTGATGAAATATAGTGGCTACATAGCTTTTGTTTACTGTGGGATTGCAAACTTGACAAAATTCCCATTTCCGCTCCCTTACCTAACACATTTCTTCTTACCTCTAATTTCTCATTTCTAATCAAGATCGGTAGTGTTAAGATAAAAATACAAAATCGAATATCGGAGAAGTAATCGTAAGGCAGGTGTACCATTTCTCCATAGCTACAGAGTACGGAACAAAGGGTGAAGCAAAGTGATGGCAAGACGTTAGTACACGGGCAAATGGAACCGCTGCACTATGGGTAATTGGTCCGATTTTTGTGGTCAAAACGAATTATGACCAAACAAGTAGATTATTTGAAAACAAATGAATTTTTATTGACTAGCATACGGTTTCCCAAAACTTTTTGACAAAAAACCCACCTTTATGTTACGTTTCGTCTGCATAGAACATAACAGACAGTCGATAACGTCGATAACGATGTTTAACCTGCAGTTAGTATTAACCAGACATTGAGAAGCTACCCCTATTTCTGAATTTTGCTGTTTGTGAAGCAATTTGGTAGATTTTTTGATAACTATACCCGAGTGGCAACATTGGTTAGAATATTTTGATATGTACCTACAAGCATTGGGCATACGAGTATCTGCGACACGTGCTTGCAACATGCAACATACAACCAGCACTATAGTACATACATATTTACAAGAAGTTGTGTTTACGGCCAGCACAAATGCAAAGACAATGAGGAACTGTAACAATTTTGCACACAATGTATGTATGTGTGTATGTATAAACCAATGTGTATGAAAAAATTATACGAAAAAGAATTTAGCGAATGTGTGCCTTACTGCTTACAACGATATTTATTAACTTTAACTGGCGCCACTGGACTTTTTGTTTTCCAACTAAGCGAGGTGAAATTTCCTTGTGAATTCTCTTTTTAGTTAACATTTTAACATCGAAGTGCATGGAAGCGTGAAAATTTGCTGCTGTCGTGCGGTGTGGTGTGGGAGTGCGTGATCGCTGAATATTTCGAAATGTGATTTAACTATTTCCATACATGAAAATCATGAAATGTATGGAATGTCTCTATCTGGTGCAAATGTACCCGCGAGGTCTTGATTTAAAGTGTGCATAGAAGTGAAATAAAAAATCAATAAAATAAATACAAATATATTGAAATAAGTTTTAAAAAAACCAAAGCGAAAAGTTTATTGAAAAAATACATACATATATACATATAAAAAAAATTGAAAAATTCGTAAAGATCTCATTATTTCCCTTTTAGATTTTTTGCCGAATATTCTAAAATGAAATACGCTGTGCACACCATGATAAAAATATAGTAAGGTAGAACCGCTGAGAGTCACTTTTAAAATTCTTGACGTTTCCAAACAATTTAATTTTTAAATTTACTCACAAACTCACACACACATTTTCATTTTCAATCTCAAGCAACAACAATTTCGAACAATTTCAATTTTTTATTTTCACTTTTATATGATTTTAAAATGTTGGCAAACTTCAAAAAAAAATCATGGCCGACAAATTGAGAGAACGGTTATACCTTGCTATGTTTTTATCATGGTGCACACTTCAATACTTTTACGAAATTGCGTAAGAAATCGGATACTCTTAAAGATTGCGTTAGTATTTCGGGAACTGTATGTTTTTTTTTTAATTATTATACTTACTAGTATTAGCTGGAAAATTATTTTGTAAAAAATTTCCATGAGATACGCATAAATATCAATATAGGTATGCACATAGTCCAATTTGGGCAAAGAGCAGGCAATTTGCCACTAAAAATATACCTACGTGAATGCATGTGCATATTGGTATACTAGAATACTCTATTCCAAACATGTTGAAGTATTAAACTTATGAAGATTATGTGTCTATAAAATTAAAAAAAAAAAAAAAAATATGGCTGCTTTCGATTCACCTGACGAG